CACACACACACACACCACACACACACACACCCACCACACACACAAACACCACCACACACACACACACACACACACACACACACACACACACACACACCCCACCACACACACACACCCCCACCACACACACACACCCCCACCACACACACACACCCCCACCACACACACACACCCCCACCACACACACACACACCTACCACACACACACACCCACCACACACACACACCCACCACACACCCACTACACACACACACACACACACACACACACAGGAACCACTGGAAGAGTTTGAGATTACCAGTGGGGAAGTAAGGAAGTGTTTACTAGAGTTGGACGTGACGAAGGCTATAGGCCCAGATGGAATCTCACCTTGGGTTCTAAAGGAAGGAGCAAGAGAACTGTGCCTACCACTCTCCTTAGTGTATAACAAATCACTGGCAATAGGGGAACTGCCAGATATTTGGAAAGCAGCTAACGTAGTCCCGATATACAAGAAAGGGGATAGACAGGAGGCACTGAACTACATGCCAGTGTCCCTAACCTGCATACCATGCAAGCTGATGGAGAAGATTGTGCGAAAAAACTAGTGGAGCATCTGGAGCGAAGGAACTTTGTAACACAGCATCAACATGGGTTCAGGGATGGCAGGTCCTGCCTCACAGGGTTACTTGAATTCTACGACCAGGCAACAAAAATAAGGCAAGAAAGAGAAGGGTGGGCAGACTGCATATTTTTGGATTGTCAGAAAGCCTTTGATACAGTGCCACACAAGAGGCTAGTGCGAAAGTTGGAGATGCAGGCTGGAGTGAGAGGGAAGGTACTCCGGTGGATAGAGGAATACCTAAGCAACAGGAGACAACGAGTCTGTGTGAGGGGTGAGGTCTCAGATTGGCGAGACGTCACAAGTGGAGTCCCGCAGGGGTCAGTCCTTGGACCTATACTGTTTCTGGTATATGTAAATGATCTCCCAGAGGGTATAGATTCGTTCCTCTCAATGTTTGCCGACGATGCAAAAATTATGAGGAGGATTGAAACAGAGGATGATAGTAGGAGGCTACAAGATGACCTGGATAGACTGAGTGAATGGTCCAACAAATGGCTGTTGAAGTTCAACCCGAGTAAATGCAAAGTAATGAAACTAGGCAGTGGAAACAGGAGGCCAGGCACAGGATACAGAATAGGAGATGAAGTACTTAATGAAACAGACAGAGAGAAAGATCTAGGAGTTGATATCACACCAAACCTGTCTCCTGAAGCCCACATAAAGAGAATAACGTCTGCGGCATATGCGAGGCTGGCTAACATCAGAACGGCGTTCAGGAACCTGTGTAAGGAATCATTCAGAATCTTGTACACCACATATGTAAGACCAATCCTGGAGTATGCGGCCCCAGCATGGAGCCCGTACCTTGTCAAGCACAAGACGAAGCTGGAAAAAGTCCAAAGGTATGCTACTAGACTAGTCCCAGAACTAAGAGGCATGAGTTATGAGGAAAGGCTGCGGGAAATGCACCTCACGACACTGGAAGACAGAAGAGTAAGGGGGGACATGATCACAACCTACAAAATCCTCAGGGGAATCGACCGGGTAAACAAGGATGAACTTTTCAACACTGGTGGGACGCGAACAAGGGGACACAGGTGGAAGCTGAGTACCCAAATGAGCCACAGAGACGTTAGAAAGAACTTTTTCAGTGTCAGAGTAGTTAGCAAATGGAATGCATTAGGAAGTAATGTGGTGGAGGCTGACTCCATACACAGTTTCAAATGTAGATATGATAGAGCCCAGTAGGCTCAGGAATCTGTACACCAGTTGATTGACGGTTGAGAGGCGGGACCAAAGAGCCAGAGCTCAACCCCCGCAAGCACAATTAGGTGAGTACAATTAGGTGAGTACACACACACACACACACACACACACACACACACACACACACACACACACACACACACACACACACACACACACACACACACCCACACACACACACACACACACACACACACACACACACACACACACACACACACACACACACACACACAGGGAGGAGGTTGGCGACCAAACTGGTAACAGGTTTAACCATAAATCCTTCAGAGTCATCGCGAACGCCGATAGCCGTGAAATCTGTGAATTTTTGAAATTGTAAAATTCGAAAACCATCCCGACTTGGCTGACAGGACGGAGGGGAATGATTTAAATGTCCATGAATAGATAAAAGAATTTAAATATTTATCAATGCATAATAAAGTCAATTCATCCAAACAAGCTCTGATTAAATTTACACAACCTAAATGAAAAACAATTTAAAATAAATGCTTCCTCGCATAAATTTGGTATAGTTATACATGGTTTATGGCGCAGATACTTTTGAGATAATGGAGTGGATAGTTCACAGTAGTGCGTAATATGGTAAATATTCTCAATGGTTATCAATACCTCGATGTGTATTGATGCGTGAACGGCATAAAGCATCAATGTAGATGGTGAAAACTTTAATTTTGATGACCTTCAAATAATTGCTTGATACCTTGATACTTGATTGTATGATGACATCCATCTTAAGGTGTTTGGTATCAGCGTTAATTGTAGAGGTGACATAGGCACAATGAGAGAGCTCTGTCTGAACATCTGTTGTAGAGGTGACATAGGCACAATGAGAGAGCTCTGTCTGAACATCTGAGATCCACGGCTGTTCAACACCCTCCCAGCAAGCATTAGAAATATTGCCGGAACGAGGGAGGATGTGGGGCATTTGGACAGGTTCTTGCAAGTGCCGGACCAACCAGGCTGTAGTAGGTATGTGGGCCTGCGGGCCGCTCCAAGCAACATCCTATTGGACCAAGTTATCACCAGTCGAGCCTGGCTTCAGGCCGGGCTCGGGGAGTAGAAAACTCCGTACGCCAACTTTATACAACTCAATAAAGTAGCAGACACAACTGCAAGAAAAATGACAAGTTGGATAAAACTATTGAAACAAGAGGATAAATCGCTAGTACACTGTAGGTAAGGGGTGCGTTGTATAATTGTGATATTAACTAATTAAATATTAGCTCGACAATGATCGATAACTTTTTTAATCCGAATCAATGTAATAAAGCTTGTAAATTATTTGGACCACTTAACATTGCATTATTGACATATACAAATATTAAAGGGAATGGCTTGAATTCAGCATCATCTTACAGTACCTTAAGAGAGCAGGAGTTGTAGTAGTTGTCTTGAAAGACAAGCTACAGAGCCCAAGACTTCAGCTCTCTCCCCTCTAAATATTATGGGCATAATTGTATCATTTGGTGACCATTTCTGGGGTTCAAGAGAGATTCTAAGAACAGCGGATTCTCCGACACTGTTTGTTAGTAGGCCATAGATTATATAATTCACAAAATTAATTAAGCAATACCATTACTTATATCGTATATGGACACAAACTATACCACAAAAGAATAGAGACTTTGCTGCACTTACATTTTTACCAAGGCTGGAGGTGACAAGTTTTAGTTTAGTTCAATTATTATGCACCCCATTCCCATGTTGTGGGCGGTGGTGGGGAGGGTTACAGAGGCACATAATGGGCTCACGGGACTGAACCCCAGAGTTCGTTTAGCTAAGCAAGTTGATCAGTTATTGTTTATGGGGGTTAAGTTCCTTCACAGGAGGACTGACAGCGACCAAAAGACTCCTCTGGTTGGATTCATTCTCAATTCACTTTCGGGGATCCCGGGTTTGATTCCCGGGCGACACATGTGTGATTGGTCACGTTTCATTTCACCTAATGCACCTTTTCACCTAGCAGTAAATAGGTACCTTACCTTTCGATAATTCCGAGGATGAACGGCCACCAACCAGGCTGTTGGACACGGCTGCTTGCAGCCTGCCATGTGAATCACAGCCTGGTTGATCAAGTATACTTTGAAGCTGTTTATGAAGTTCTTTATTTAACCTTGCTAGAGGCTGGCTAGTGGTGCCCCCTATGTGTAGCAGTGGAGTGTTGAACAGTCTCGGGCCTCTGATGTTGATACTTCTCTCTTGAGTACCTATTGCACCTGTTTTTCATTGGGGTATTTTTGCACATCCTGCCATGCCTCCTGTTCTCACGTGGTGTTATTTCTGTGTGCAGGGTTGGGGCCTGTCCTCTCAGAATTTGCAAGTGCAAAATATTATGACCCTTCTACCTGTGCTCTAGGGAATACAGATTTAAAACTTTGAAGCAAACATCACTTGTTTCAAAGATTATTGCTATCCAACCGATCATTTTTTCTAGCAGTTGCGACAGCCGCTTTCTTGTGTACTTTAAAGTACCTGGGGCTAGATTCACGAAGCAGTTACTCAAGCACTTACGAACCTATACATCTTTTCTCACTATTTGGCGGCTTTGTTTACAATTATTAAACAGTTAATGAGCTCCGAAGCACCAGGAGGCTGTTTATAACAATAACAACAGTTGATTGGCAAGTTTTCATGTTTGTAAACTGTTTAATAAATGTAACCAAAGCCGTCAAAGATTGAGGAAAGATGTACACGTTGGTAAGTACTTGCGTAACTGCTTCGTGAATCTGGCCCCAGGTTCGTAAGTACTTGCGTAACTGCTTCGTGAATCTGGTCTCTTGAAGTTAGTTAAGTGCTGTGGGGGAGGGGGGGGGGTTGTATCCAGTAGAAGGGTCAGTAGTTCCACCTTGGCCAACCTCGATGCCAGACTAAAGTCTCTTGTTATACACTGGCTTCTTGTCCCAGATAAAACAAATTATGAATATATAATTGTAGAGTGAGCCAAGCGGAGAGAGTGAGCGGGCGGGGGATGGCAGCGCCAGGAGTGTGAAGGGTCGCCGAGAGCCAGCCAGGAAGGCAGCTGAGAAGGCAGTGCAGCGGCCTGGGGGACCGTTGAGGAGGTGCTTACCCTGAGGTTGTACCGGGGTGAGGCCCCATGTTGACCCTGTCCCACCCGGGCGGGACAGTCCCCGTCCTCCAACAACATACTCACACACAGGCCACCATCCCATGGGATCACTCATCCCTTGGGCCCCTGAGAAGGGGCCACCCACCGCCGGGGGCCCCCACCGCCGGGGGCCACCCACCGCCGGGGCCACCCACCGCCGGGGGCCACCCACCGCCGGGGGCCACCCACCGCCGGGGGCCACCCACCGCCGGGGCCACCCACCGCCGGGGGCCACCCCCCGCCGGGGGCCACCCCCCACCGCCGGGGGCCACCCACCGCCGGGGGCCACCCACGCCGGGGGCCACCCACCGCCGTGGGCCCCCCACCGCCGGGGGCCACCCACCGCCGGGGGCCACCCACCGCCGGGGGCCACCCACCGCCGGGGGCCACCCACCGCCGGGGGCCACCCACCGCCGGGGGCCACCCACCGCCGGGGGCCACCCACCGCCGGGGCCACCCCACCGCCGGGGCCCACCCCACCGCCGGGGCCACCCACCGCCGGGGGCCACCCACCGCCGGGGGCCACCCCCCGCCGGGGGCCACCCACCGCCGGGGGCCACCCACCGCCGGGGGCCACCCACCGCCGGGGGCCACCCACCGCCGGGGGCCACCCACCGCCGGGGGCCACCCACCGCCGGGGGCCACCCACCGCCGGGGGCCACCCACCGCCGGGGGCCACCCACCGCCAGGGGCCACCCACCGCCAGGGGCCACCCACCACCAGGGGCCACCCACCACCAGGGGCCACAGCTCCTAGGGACACCTGACACCACCTGTCAGTGGACCACTTGAGACAAAACTAGGCAGTATTTGTTATGGTTAATAATTTGTTTATTCTTTAGTTGTATGAATCAAAGTGTGTGTGTGTGTGTACTTACCTAGTTGTTCTAACCTAGTTGTGCTTGCAGGGGTTGAGCTCTGGCTCTTTGGTCCCGCCTCTCAACTGTCAATCAACAGGTGTACAGGTTCCTGAGCCTACTGTGTGTGTGTGTGTGTGTTAGAGAAAAATATATGTAGTAAACATATAGAGGAAAAATAGATTGGTTAGAAAGGCGGGGTCCAAGAGCTAATAGCTCGATTCTGCAGACACAGATAGTATATACACACACACACACACAATCTCCCCAGGAAACTCATCGTAGCAGCTGTCTAACTCCCAGCATACCTGGAGCATACATGCAGCATACCTGTAGCATACCTGTAGCATACCTGTGCATACCTTGACCATACCTGGAGAGGGTTCTGGGAGTTCTTCTACTCCCCGAGCCCGGCCTGAATATTCCCAGCCAAGGACCAGGGGAAAAGAATATCCATATCGGGCCGCTCCAAGCAACAGCCTGGTGGACCAAACTCTCACAAGTCAAGCCTGGCCTCGGGCCGGGCTTGGGGAGTAGAACAACTCCCAGAACCCTATCAACCAGGTATCAAGCAACAGCCTAGTGGACCACTCTCTCGCAAGTCAAGCCTGGCCTCGGGCCGGGCTTGGGGAGTAGAACAACTCCCAGAACCCCATCAACCAGGTATCAAGCAACAGCCTAGTGGACCAAACTCTCGCAAGTCAAGCCTGGCCTCGGGCCGGGCTTGGGGAATAGAACAACTCCCACAACCCCATCAACCAGGTATCATATACCATATCCCTCCTGGTTGACAGCACATGAAGCGGCGAGTGAGACTTGTAACACCCGCAGGTGGACAGTGTGGGGCCGGGATAGACAGCCACTCACGACAACCTCCTTGAGGTCTGGCGAGGCTGGCTGAAGACAGGAGGGGGGGGGGGTCTGGGCTGGCAGACTTCTTATGAGTAATGTGAAAGATTTTGTCCCCTAATTTCTCTTACCCACTGCCGGGGGGCGGGGGGTATAGGGTTTTATACAGCTTTAGGGCCCCCCCTGATCTTCCCCCCCCGATCTTTCCCCCCCCCCCAATCTTCCCCCCCCCAATCTTCCCCCCCCCGATCTTCCCCCCCCCCCGATCTTTCCCCCCCCTGATCTCCCCCCCTGATCTTCCCCCCCCTGATCTTCCCCCCCCCCTGATCTTCCCTCCCCCGATCTTTCCCCCCCCCCGATCTTCCCCCCCCCCGATCTTCCTTCCCCCCCCCCGATCTTCCCCCCCCCTGATCTCCCCCCCCCCTGATCTCCCCCCCCTGATCTCCCCCCCCTGATCCCCCCCCCTGATCTCCCCCCCCCCTGATCTCCCCCCCCCTGATCTCCCCCCCTGATCTTCCCCCCCCTGATCTTCCCCCCCCCATGATCTTCCCCCCCCTATCTTCCCCCCCTGATCTTCCCCCCCCCTGATCTTCCCCCCCCCCTGATCTTCCCCCCCCCTGATCTTCCCCCCCCCCCTGATCTTCCCCCTGATCTTCCCCCCCTGATCTTCCCCCCCTGATCTTCCCCCCCCTGATCTCCCCCCCTGATCTTCCCCCCCCTGATCTTCCCCCCCCCAGATCTTCCCCCCCCTGAATCTTCCCCCCTGCCCCCCCCCCCCCACTTCCCCCCCCTAATCTTCCCCCCCCCTGATCTGTGATTCCCTTGATCTTCCCCCCCCTTGATCTTCCCCCCTGTCTGAGGAACTTCCCCCCTGATCTTCCCCCCTTGATCTTCCCCCCCTGATCCCCCCCCCTGATCTTCCCCCCCTGATCTCCCCCCCCCTGAAATATTCCCCCCCTCGAATCTATTTCCCCCCCTGATCTTCCCCCCCCCCTGATCTTTCCCCCCCCCCTGATCTTCCCCCCCCTGATCTTCCCCCCCCCCTTGAGTCTTCCCCCCGATTGATCTTCCCCCCCCCTGATCTTCCCCCCCCCTGATCTTCCCCCCCCCTGATCTTCCCCCCCCTGATCTTCCCCCCCCCTGATCTTCCCCCCCCCTGATCTTCCCCCCCCATGATCTTCCCCCCCCCTGATCTCCCCCCCCCCTGATCTTCCCCCCCCTCTGATCTCCCCCCCCTGATCTCCCCCCCCCTGATCTCCCCCCCCCGATCTCCCCCCCCCTGATCTTCCCCCCCACGATCTCCCCCCCCCCCTGATCTCCCCCCCCCCCCGATCTCCCCCCCCCTGATTTCCCCCCCCGATCTCCCCCCCCGATCTCCCCCCCCCAGATCTCCCTCCCCAGATCTCCCCCCCCCAGATCTCCCCCCCCCAATCCCCCCCCCCAGATCTCCCCCCCCCCCGATCTACCCCCCCCGATCTACCCCCCCGATCTACCCCCCCCCGATCTACCCCCCCCCCCCCCCCGATCTACCCCCCCGATCTACCCCCCCCCCGATCTACCCCCCCCCGATCTACCCCCCCCCCGATCTACCCCCCCCCGATCCCCCCCCCCCCCCCCCGATCTCCCCCCCCCCCCCCCACCGATCTCCCCCCCCCCAACCGATCTCCCCCCCCCCCCCACCGATCTCCCCCCCCCCCAACCCAACCGATCTCCCCCCCCCAACCGATCTCCCCCCCCCCAACCGATCTCCCCCCCCAACCGATCTCCCCCCCCCCCAACCGATCCCCCCCCCCACCGATCTCCCCCCCCCCCCCCCAGATCTCCCCCCCCAGATCTCCCCCCAGATCTACCCCCCCCCCGATCTACCCCCCCCCCCGATCCCCCCCCCCCCGATCTACCCCCCCCCCCGATCTACCCCCCCCCCCCCCGATCTACCCCCCCCCCCCCCCCCGATCTACCCCCCCCCAACCGATTTCCCCCCCCCCCCCCCCCAACCGATCTCCCCCCCCCCAACCGATCTCCCCCCCCAACCGATCTCCCCCCCCCAACCGATCTCCCCCCCCCCCCAACCGATCCCCCCCCCAACCGATCTCCCCCCCCAACCGATCTCCCCCCCCCACCGATCTCCCCCCCCCCCACCGATCTCCCCCCCCCCCGCCACTGGGCATGGTGCCTAGGCACATCTAGGCGCACACATTTATCTATCAACACAACTAAAACACACACAGATGGTAGATAGCAATCTCGACCCACAAGAGTTAAGATGATGATAATATGTTAATGGAAAATCATTTAGTATTGGTTTTTCTTATATGGGACACAGCTCACAAGGGGAGAGGTGCACAGTATATCATTAAAAGGGAACTAAAGTTGAGGGCAAAGCAACAAGCTGCCAAAGCTTGTTGACTTGTTGCCAAAGATTGGTGACTTGACAGCAGCATACATGGGAAACAATTGAACACGGAAGCTGCTAGCAAAGCCCCGGAGCGGGAAGGTAGTCATCTATGTGCATGTGACTTGGTCTTGTGACTCGAGGGTCTTGTGACTCGACGGTCTTGTGACTCGAGGGTCTTGTGACTCGAGGGTCTTGTGACTCGACGGTCTTGTGACTCGAGGGTCTTGTGACTCGAGGGTCTTGTGACTCGACGGTCTTGTGACTCGACGGTCTTGTGACTCGAGGGTCTTGTGACTCGACGGTCTTGTGACTCGAGGGTCTTGTGACTCGACGGTCTTGTGACTCGACGGTCTTGTGACTCGAGGGTCTTGTGACTCGAGGGTCTTGTGACTCGAGGGTCTTGTGACTCGAGGGTCTTGTGACTCGAGGGTCTTGTGACTCGAGGGTCTTGTGACTCGAGGGTCTTGTGACTCGAGGGTCTTGTGACTCGAGGGCCTTGTGACTCGAGGGCCTTGTGACTCGAGGGCCTTGTGACTCAAGGAAGACCTAGTCTGGGGGCCGCGCCACGGAGTCACTGATCCTTAGACCAACCTTAACCTTGACCACAGAGGACACACAGGGAGTAGTGACCCGTGATCTGGTAACCTTGACCACAGAGGACACACAGGGAGTAGTGACCCGTGATCTGGTAACCTTGACCACAGAGGACGCACAGGGAGTAGTGACCCGTGATCTGGTAACCTTGACCACAGAGGAGGCACAGGGAGTAGTGACCCGTGATCTGGTAATCTTGACCACAGAGGACACACAGGGAGTAGTGACCCGTGATCTGGTAACCTTGACCACAGAGGACGCACAGGGAGTAGTGACTCGTGATCTGGTAACCTTGACCACAGAGGACACACAGGGAGTAGTGACCCATGATCTGGTAACCTTGACCACAGAGGACACACAGGGAGTAGTGACCCATGATCTGGTAACCTTGACCACAGAGGACACACAGGGAGTAGTGACCCATGATCTGGTAACCTTGACCACAGAGGACACACGGAGTAGTGACCCATGATCTGGTAACCTTGACCACAGAGGACGCACAGGGAGTAGTGACCCGTGATCTGGTAACCTTGACCACAGAGGACACACAGGGAGTAGTGACCCATGATCTGGTAACCTTGACCACAGAGGACACACAGGGAGTAGTGACCCATGATCTGGTAACCTTGACCACAGAGGACACACAGGGAGTAGTGATCCATGATCTGGTAACCTTGACCACAGAGGACACACAGGGAGTAGTGACCCATGATCTGGTAACCTTGACCACAGAGGACGCACAGGGAGTAGTGACCCATGATCTGGTAACCTTGACCACAGAGGACACACAGGGAGTAGTGACCCATGATCTGGTAACCTTGACCACAGAGGACACACAGGGAGTAGTGAGCCGTGATCTGGTAACCTTGACCACAGAGGACACACAGGGAGTAGTGACCCGTGATCTGGTAACCTTGACCACAGAGGACGCACAGGGAGTAGTGACCCGTGATCTGGTAACCTTGACCACAGAGGACGCACAGGGAGTAGTGACCCGTGATCTGGTAACCTTGACCACAGAGGACACACAGGGAGCAGTGACCCGTGATCCGGTAACCTTGACCACAGAGGACGCACAGGGAGTAGTGACCCGTGATCTGGTAACCTTGACCACAGAGGACACACAGGGAGTAGTGACCCGTGATCTGGTAACCTTGACCACAGAGGACACACAGGGAGTAGTGACCCATGATCTGGTAACCTTGACCACAGAGGACACACAGGGAGTAGTGACCCATGATCTGGTAACCTTGACCACAGAGGACACACAGGGAGTAGTGACCCATGATCTGGTAACCTTGACCACAGAGGACGCACAGGGAGTAGTGACCCATGATCTGGTAACCTTGACCACAGAGGACGCACAGGGAGTAGTGACCCGTGATCTGGTAACCTTGACCACAGAGGACGCACAGGGAGTAGTGACCCATGATCTGGTAACCTTGACCACAGAGGACGCACAGGGAGTAGTGACCCATGATCTGGTAACCTTGACCACAGAGGACACACAGGGAGTAGTGACCCATGATCTGGTAACCTTGACCACAGAGGACGCACAGGGAGTAGTGACCCATGATCTGGTAACCTTGACCACAGAGGACGCACAGGGAGTAGTGACCCGTGATCTGGTAACCTTGACCACAGAGGACGCACAGGGAGTAGTGACCCGTGATCTGGTAACCTTGACCACAGAGGACGCACAGGGAGTAGTGACCCGTGATCTGGTAACCTTGACCACAGAGGACGCACAGGGAGTAGTGACCCGTGATCTGGTAACCTTGACCACAGAGGACACACAGGGAGCAGTGACCCGTGATCCGGTAACCTTGACCACAGAGGACGCACAGGGAGTAGTGACCCGTGATCTGGTAACCTTGACCACAGAGGACACACAGGGAGTAGTGACCCGTGATCTGGTAACCTTGACCACAGAGGACGCACAGGGAGTAGTGACCCGTGATCTGGTAACCTTGACCACAGAGGACACACAGGGAGCAGTGACCCGTGATCCGGTAACCTTGACCACAGAGGACGCACAGGGAGTAGTGACCCGTGATCTGGTAACCTTGACCACAGAGGACACACAGGGAGTAGTGACCCGTGATCTGGTAACCTTGACCACAGAGGACACACAGGGAGTAGTGACCCATGATCTGGTAACCTTGACCACAGAGGACACACAGGGAGTAGTGACCCATGATCTGGTAACCTTGACCACAGAGGACACACAGGGAGTAGTGACCCATGATCTGGTAACCTTGACCACAGAGGACGCACAGGGAGTAGTGACCCATGATCTGGTAACCTTGACCACAGAGGACGCACAGGGAGTAGTGACCCGTGATCTGGTAACCTTGACCACAGAGGACGCACAGGGAGTAGTGACCCATGATCTGGTAACCTTGACCACAGAGGACGCACAGGGAGTAGTGACCCATGATCTGGTAACCTTGACCACAGAGGACACACAGGGAGTAGTGACCCATGATCTGGTAACCTTGACCACAGAGGACGCACAGGGAGTAGTGACCCATGATCTGGTAACCTTGACCACAGAGGACGCACAGGGAGTAGTGACCCGTGATCTGGTAACCTTGACCACAGAGGACGGGAGAGACATAATAATTTAGACTGGGAAAATCTTAGAGGAGCTGACCACCTTGATCACACCCAAGACAGACATAATACAGTTGGCTCATGTAGGCAGACCACACCCAAGACAGACATAATACAGTGGGCTCATGTAGAAAGACCACACCCAAGACAGACATAATACAGTGGGCTCATGTAGGCAGACCACACCCAAGACAGACATAATACAGTGGGCTCATGTAGAAAGACCACACCCAAGACAGACATAATACAGTGGGCTCATGTAGGCAGACCACACCCAAGACAGACATAATACAGTGGGCTCATGTAGGCAGAACACACCCAGAGCAAAGGCTGCTTCGCTTTGCAATAAAGAGCACTTTAAAGGGCACGTTATCACGTCTGAACACTTAACATTGTTGACTCTGGAGATTACCATGGGGCGCCGTCTTGCAAGTACCTCAAGCAGGCTCTCAACTGTCTTGGTGTTCTGTCCTTTGTTCAGCGCTGATGAACCATGTTGTCCGCACCTGCCTGTGCTTGCTGAGGGCAGCGGCGCCGGATCTACTCCTAGTTTAATGTCATTGTATGTTTAAGTGTTGAGATAGTGTGTATACTGTGTCGTATTTGTGCTTGCATGGGCGCGCTCTTAGCTCTTGGTCTCCGCCTTTCCAACAATCGGGAGTCTATTGTACTGACTCCTTACTTATTTTTCCTATAGCATATCTATTGCATATATTATTGTTTTATTTCTCTAAACACACACACACACACACACACACACACACACACACACACACACACACACACACACACACACACACACACACACACACACACACACAGCTAGTACCAGAACTAAAGAGCATGAATTACGAGGACAGGCTGCGCTGTGAGATGCACCTCACGACACTGGAAGATAGAAGAATAAGGGGGAGACATGATCACGACCTACAAAATGCTCAGATGAATTAACAGGGTAGATAAAGATAAATCGTTTAACACGGGTGGTACGCGGTCTTGTACACAGGGTGGACACAGGTGGAAACTGTGTACCCACATGAGCCACAGGGACGTTAGAAGGAACTTTTTCAGTGTCAGCGTAGTTAACAGGTGGATTGCATTAGGAAGTGATGTGGTGGAGGCTGACTCCATACACAGTTTCAAATGTAGATATGATAGAGCCCAGTAGGCTCAGGAACCTGTACACCAGTTGATTGACGGTTGAGAGGGAAGAAAAAACACTGCACTATGAGGTAGCTTCTCTCGATTCAAGTAGAAGATCTGAAGGAAATAAATTTCAACAGAAAGGTAAATATGAACAGGAATAATAAAGGTGGCAGATAAGGAAGATAAGGCGACAACATCCATCTGACCACAGATCTCCTCGGGACCAAAGAGCTAAAGCTTAACCCCCGCAAGCACAACTAGGTGAGTAGATGTCGTTGTATTATTACAAACACACAAAGTAAATAAGCTAACAAAGGAGAGAATCAAACTAGTATAACACTTAAGAATTTTAAAACATGTTTTGTGAGCATAACTAATGAAATATAACATTGGTCAGAAAATTATTGGATGGACTATAATAACCTAAAAACCAGGAATTCCACGACAGTGCTCGTACTTTTACAAATAACTTCTCTAGCTATCTTCCTGTGAGTCCTGCTCGATACTCGCTTTCCCTTTCAGAGCAGGAGAGATTTCTGAAGGAGTGAAGAAAGGGAACATGTACGCATTAATGTACTCGATAAAACACTAAATTATCGGGATCATCTGAAAGCTATAAAAATGTATTCTTTAGAAAAGAGACGAGAGAGGTATCACAAAGTATGCATGGAAGATACTGGACGGCCAGGTCCCAAATTTACACAGTAAAATAACAACGTACTGGAGCGAAAGATACAGAAGGAAATGCAGATTGGAGCCAGTGAAGAGTAGAAGTGCCATAGGCACAATTTGAAACCAAATTGTATCTTTGGCTTCACAGCAATCATGAGAAATATTTCCAGTATAAAAGTAGACGAGTTCATGACAAAATTTGACCTATTCCTGCAGGAAGTGGTGGACCAACCCGGTTGTAGTGGATATGTGGGCTTGCAGGCAATTCCAAGCACGTTGAAACCAGTTATCATGAGACAAGCCAAGTGCTGGGCCAGGCTTGAGGACTGGAAGAAGTTCCAGAATCCATTGCAATTATACACCAGATATAACAGATACAGGAAGCAAGCCCAGGTAAAGCATTTGCTAAAGTGGCAAAAGGTTTATTGAAACACAAGATAATTAATTCAATTTTATTAGAGGCTGTAAAAACTCTATCCGTAATAAAATGCAAGGCAGGAATTGGAGAAAATTATAATCAGAGGGAGAGACAAAAAATGAGGAGAAAGACAAAATAAAATCACAAATTTTACTCAAAGTTCAGACTAGCGATGCAGCAATGGAAATGAAACATTCTTGTAGGCTAGGCAGGTTTTAGGAGGAAAACAATTGACCAGTGAAAGTTATTTTTACGAACAGCAATCCACTTAAATATATAATGAGGGATGAAGGGAAGTAACTTGCAATAATTACTAGATAGGGTATGTCTAAAGAGGACTGAGAGACAAAAAAAGGAAATCATGAAATAAAAGTATACAAGAAATGGATGGAAACTTAAAATGGCAGTGTACAAGAACCACCAGACTCGCTATGGTTCTAGTGCCACACCTTACACTCGTGTGGTTCTAGTGCCACACCTTACACTCGTATGGTTCTAGTGCCACACCTTACACTCGTATGGTTCTAGTGCCACACCTTACACTCGTATGGTTCTAGTGCCACACCTTACACTCGTGTGGTTCTAGTGCCACACCTTACACTCGTGTGGTTCTAGTGCCACACCTTACACTCGTGTGGTTCTAGTGCCACACCTTACACTCGTGTGGTTCTAGTGCCACACCTTACACTCGTGTGGTTCTAGTGCCACACCTTACACTCGTGTGGTTCTAGTGCCACACCTTACACTCGTGTGGTTCTAGTGCCACACCTTACACTCGTGTGGTTCTAGTGCCACACCTTACACTCGTGTGGTTCTAGTGCCACACCTTACACTCGTGTGGTTCTAGTGCCACACCTTACACTCGTATGGTTCTAGTGCCACACTTACACTCGTGTGGTTCTAGTGCCACACCTTACACTCGTGTGGTTCTAGTGCCACACCTTACACTCGTGGTTCTAGTGCCACACCTTACGCTCGTATGGTTCTAGTGCCACACACTCGTATGGTTCTAGTGCCACACCTTGCACTCGTGGTTCTAGTGCCACACACTCGTATGGTTCTAGTGCCACACCTTGCACTCGTGGTTCTAGTGCCACACCTTACACTCGTGGTTCTAGTGCCACACCTTGCACTCGTGGTTCTAGTGCCACACCTTGCACTCGTGGTTCTAGTGCCACACCTTGCACTCGTGGTTCTAGTGCCACACCTTACACTCGTGGTTCTCCCCAAACTCCTTGCTCTTATATAATTCTCGCTTCACGCGCTCTAATAACCGCGTCACTTTGATGCAAGTTCTTCCTCAACTCATTAAACTCACTCTGCGTAAATTAGAGTCCTGGCCGTGTGGTAATTTACAGTCAGTGTCGGCATGACAGGTCGGTCTTGTGTGACGATGGACAGCTAGGAGTCCTGACTCCTGGCCGTGTGGTAAATTACAGTCAGTGTCGGTACGATAGGTCTTGTGTGACGATCGTCTCAAAGCTCTCCAAATGTACTCACTAGAAAGGAGACGAGAGAGATATCAAATAATATACACGTGGAAAATACTGGAAGGCCAGGTCCCTAATCTACACATTAAAATAACAACATACTGGAGTGAACGATATGGAAGAAAATGCAGAATAGAACGAGTGAAGAGCAGAGGTGCCATAGGCACAATCAGAGAACACTGTATAAACATCAGAGGCCCGCGGTTGTTCAACACCCAGCGAGCATCAGAAATATTGCCGGAACAACCGTGGACATCTTCAAGAGAAAACTCGATTGTTTCCTCCAAGTTGTTCCGGACCAACCGGGCCGTGGTGGGTATGTGGGCCTGCGGGCCGCTGCAAGCAACAGCCTGGTGGAGTGACATAGTGACTTCTTTAATACAATTTGTGAATGGGGTGTGTAATCCAGGGTATATTTTTAATGTGTTTTATCATCGTGGTGTCTACACGTGTCACATGAGACGAGAGAAGACAGGAAATACAGACATTAAGTTCCAGAACTTTTGACAAAACAAGGAACTTGTTCTTTTGAACTTGAAGATCCTGACGACCAGCTGCGTTGACTACATAACTGGTCGGACCAACCCAAGCAACCCGTCTAAACATATCGAGGTCAACGCTATAGACACGGTCAATGTTGTGGTAACTTATTGTTTACTAATACGTCCCACTTTCAATGGATTGGTCGTTTTAGTAAACAAAACAAAATTGGACCGTAGTAGATGAGAGGACAGGTTGATGAGGGGAATCTGCTCACAGAGCACTGAAATAAAACAAAAAACAATTACAATACGACAATCACAAACAAATCGTTATGATTCGGTTGTATTATATGTAATACTTTATTCACGACATAATAACAATTGAACACAATGTTTTCCCGCAATGTTGTAGAAAAACACTCGTGGAGTAATGGTGGGGGGCGGGGGGGGGGGGGCGGGGAATAATATTCCAATTTATGTTAAGCACTTTTACATGTGAGTATATACGGCCTGCCTATACCCTATTCCCTCACACCCCCCCCCCCCCTATTATTTTTGTATTCTATTGAAGGCAGAAAACGTCTGGAGAGGTAAATCGCTGCCCACTCACCTGGCGAGTCGCTGCCCCCCTCGCCTGGCGAGTCGCTGCCCCCCTCGCCTGGCGAGTCGCTGCCCCCCTCGCCTGGCGAGTCGCTGCCCCCCTCGCCTGG